TTTTAATGATATTAATTAATGATATCTTTCATGTAATATTCTCCTTCCTCAAAAAATAAAAAAAATACAAAAAGAATAAATAAATCTTACACTTAATCATATTAATTATCTTTAAGTGTTAATTCTTACATTTAAAAACGTTTACACTCTTCTTCAAAAAACGTTGGATATAATTTACAATTCTCTGTAAGAATTTTTTAACAGGGAACTTTCGCTCACATTTTATCTCCATCTCCCAGTGACCAATCTCTTCCAACGAACAATTAATTAACACCCATCCTTCATCCATCTTTTCTGTATTATGAGAAGACATTAAAATCGAATGTATCTTCGATTAGTATAATAGAAAAATGATCAATATTCGAGATAAAAATTTCTTCTTCCTTCTTATTTTGTATATTAAACAAAGGATTATATTTGCTAGAATATATAAATCTTTCTCAAAATTGTATCTTTGTAATTTCTTCAGCAATTATATATATCGTACCATTTAATTATCTCGTCTTAACATTTCAAATAAGATATATTCAAAGTAAATACTGATTAAATCAGATAAAGAGATAGGATTCAAATACATTCCCATATCACAAGATTCTAAAAATTGTTTTTCTTTGTCTAAATAAATGTCTGCAATGTCAAAGATTATGACGGTAATTACATGTACCATTAATTGTTATCAGGTTTAATGACTTCTTATCTCATATGCGAACGTGGAATGAATTGATATTGTGCTCTGTTCTTAGGGAATGTAACTTTTCAATGAAAAAGCTTTTGTCAGTTACAATTTCATCAAGGTATGGATTCATTTTACTTCACCTTCTACTTTCAACAAAAATATCAAAATCATTACTGTTTATAGTTATCTATATCTAATGTAATTATGTATATCCCAAATTGCTTTAGTCATCACAAATTATCATATCATTCAACATTTATTACCACATGACTGTTTTTACGCGTCTCATTACGATTAAGAACTGATTTTTCATCTTGTTTTTTTTTCTCGTGAGATTATCTCCATTTGATATGATTTATTTATGATTAAATTTTAATGTTTATCATAAAAATATATCTATTTTCATTAATTATTTTCGTTAATGTTTTTGCCGTTTCTTAAATTTCTTTGATCTTCATGAAATTGAAGTATGATAAAATCAAATATTTTTTAAATAATTCAAGAAAATTTAAACTTTTCTCTTCAGAAAAATAGAAGAAAAAATCGAAAATAAAGTTTGGAGGATGAAGGAAGAATTCCAGATTAAGCTTCATGATTATTCAAAAGCTTTTTAAATTTTAAGTTTAAGTTTTATTTTCCTCCGAAACTTTTTTCAAGAAAATTTAAACTTTTCCCTTCAGAAAAATAGAAGAAAAAGTCGAAATAAAGTTAATAAAAAATAAGATGAAACTGTTAAAAAAAGTACGAGTTAATCAAGCAAATGTGATTTTTTTCTTCTGTTTTCAATTTTGGCTGATTTTTATTATCCTAGATTTTCTCCGTTTAAGAAATTTAAAAAATTTTTACATCATGAAGGAAGAATTCCAGATTAAGCTATTCAAAAGCTTTTTAAGTTTTAAGTTTAAGTTTTATTTTCCTTTGCAACTTTTTTCAAATTAATTCAATCAATTCTCTACAAAATTCTAGATTTTTTTAGATTTCTCTAAAGTAGCCAAACGCAAATTTTTTTGAATTCGACAAAGTACTTTCAAACAGGGAAGCACTAATAGAACTAAGATCAATCAATCATCACTCGCGAAGATGCCATCGCGCGATCACTTCACATTAAATTTGTCCTTTGTAACCTTGTACTCTCTTATCTTTCTTGGTTTTCTTTCCAATGTCCAAGGGCCATAGCAAAAAAAATTTAAATAATAAAACTTAAACAACATTAAAGAAAACAACATTGGATTTGCTACTGCTTATGTTACTTCTTTACGTTCTCGATTGTGATTGGTTGATTCGCTTGCTGCTTAACTTTTACTATTTAAGTTTTTTTGCGTGCTATGGCCCTTATTATGCACCAATTTTAAGTGCAAAAAGGCAATATAGTGCAGCTACAAAGAACATATCTATTACTTCAGACACTGCGATCGGTTCATTGACCGGTTAGCGACTGACGGAGCCATCACCGAAGCAGAAAGCAGAAGAAACGCTAGTTGGTGTCGCTACTGCACTTTAACACTAAGAGGGGCCAAATTCTTTTTTTTACAACCAATCAGTCACAGCCGGTAGTAGATATCAAGATAATCTCATCGGCAAATGTCACTCATGGTCACGATCCAGATGCGAACGCGATAAATTCGTTGACTTTCCTCTTCAGTTTCTAATTTCCTTATTCTTCAGCGATATTGGAAAAATCACCGAAGACATATCACGTGAAATGTATTTCTCAATTAAAATTATTATTAAACATTATTAGGGTAATATTTCAACTTAAATAATATTAATTATTATTAAATATTATAATTTAATATAGATTGTTATGTTTGAAATTCAAATTAACACAATTTTTTATTAGATATGAATTATTTAAACAAATATATCTTTTTTATTTATAAATAAATTTAATTTTACACACACACACACACACACACACACACACACACACACACACACACCACGCGCGTCGTACGTACGTTAAATTATTATTTTTTTAATTTTAATATTCAATCAATTTAGTCATTCATTAAAAAGTAAAATTAAAAACTTACACAAAAGAGGATCCAATCGTTCCTTAAAACTCTTATTCCGTTTGATTCTTTCCACATCACTTTCTACATCTGTATCTAGCATAGTTTCCCACTCGGAAGGATCGTATGTGCGATCTTTCCGTGAGTCTGGCGTGTCCTCGCGCTCCACATTTCGCTTTTCCACATTATCATACGATGAATTTCGATCACTGTATAACGATTCACATGTGTCTGGTGACTTCAGCAGTTCTGGGTACCTATATATAAGCAGATTTCAAATATCAATCAAATATCTTATTTTCTATTATACTCTCTTAAATTCTTTTTGTTTATATAAAAAAATCAAGAATTTATAAGTATTAAGAAAAATTTCAATAATTAAGCTTTTTCGTGTTGTTCTTATAAATTCTAGATATACAGCAACTATAATAATGATATATTTATACCATTATTATATAATACAAGATAATCTATTATTGATAATATACCGAATAAGATAAAATTGTAAAGTAGAAGAAAAAGATGTGTATAAATATATATGTATAATATATATGTATGTATAATAAAAAAAAGATATGTATAAATGTGTGTGTGTGTGTGTGTGTGTGTGTGTGTGTGTGTGTGTGTGTGTGTGTGTGTAGTAT